ATGTCAATGATACCGAAAACACTTTACAATTAGAACGAGAGGAAGCGAGTGATCAAATGTTCGATTTCGTGGAAGGAAATTTCATAACGGAAGGAACGAGGGGAAGCGACGAAGAAGAAACCTTTTTTACAATTCGTTTCCTTATTTAATATATTATATATTTAGTTTTGATTATTTTTAATATTAAAGTTTTAGATACACTTTTAAAGAGTAACTAAACATTTTTATTTAATTTTAAAAAAATTAATTTTTTTCTTAATCTTTAGAGAAGTTTAAGAAAGTGTTTCTAAAAATTGATGAAACTTTTTASAGACATTTTTTTATAAAAGCTTCTCTAAAACTTTTAACGACATTTCTTATAACATATAATTAGCCTATAAATCATTCTTTAAACGTCGTCCAATCTTTAGTTACATTTCTTATTTTTGTCATTTAAATCATTCTCTATAATGTAGCTTTAGATACACTTTTAAAAGTTTCTCTAAAGATTTCTTCTCTAAAACTCATTGCTCTTGTAGTGTTCCAATTCCACCAAATTCCGGTGGATTCCGACGAACCAAACGCCCCCTAATAAAGTTGTGTTTCGACTGGGGAAAACTTTAATTGTCGCCCTTGAATTAACATATTTTCAGTAATTTATTCAGATGCATTATAATAATTTATTCAGATGCATTATAATAATTTATTACATACTACACATCTATGGACGGATTTAAACGAGAACGATACATATTCAAGAGAATAAGAAAAACAGTCAAATCAAATATGATTTTACACACCGACATCACGTACCAAATCACATGTGATTCACACGACTTTGCCCCGTGACTTGAAAACGCACCCAAAGTCACTCGCACACCTTTTTTTGACCGATAATGTAAACTCACATGTGATTTTACACATGATTAACTACTTTAATATTCTCTTAAACAGTTAACATTCTCGTTTGATCTTTATATATATATATATAACACCTCAACTTATGAGTTTTACTGGCAATGAGGAGTTCTTGTAACAAGTATAGGATGTTTCTTATGAACAGTAAGACCAATGGTCTCACTCATATCCAAATCCTTTCCTTCAGCCACCTCCAAATCAAACTTGTATACCAAATTAGCCAAAACAAGCTCGTTAACCACCATGGCGAACTGAATGCCAGGACACCCACGTCTCCCAGCACCAAACGGTATCAACTCAAAATGAAACCCTTTGTAATCAACAGGACTGTTCAAGAACCTTTCTGGCATGAACTCATTGGGTTCCACCCATGTCGAACCATCTCTTCCTATTGCCCATGCATTGATGATCACTTGTGTGCCTGCTGTTATATCGTAGCCAAGTAGTTTGACGTCTTGTGTAGATTCACGAGGAACGAGCAGGGGGAGTGGAGGGTGCAGTCGTAGGGTTTCTTTGAGGATGGCTCTTAGGTATGGCATCTTGTCTAWGTCATCTTCACTGATCATTGATCTTCCCTGCCCTATTTCACATGCTTCTTGTTGTAACCTTTTCATTGCTTGTGGGTGTCTTAATAGCTCGCTGATCGCCCACTCGAGGTTCGTGAACGTAGTATCAGTTCCAGCAGCAAATATATCCTGCAGGAAATCAAAAACATAACGTGGATGCACTTAGGGTGTGTTTACTTAGGCTTAACGAGTTTAATGGATAAATTGGCTTATTCACATAATAACTTTAGTATGTTTACTTCGTGCTTATTCGCCCAGAAATGGGCTTATTGTAGTTTGATTGTAGAAGTATATAGTATTAGGGATTACCATAATGATGGCCTTGATCTCGTCGGTTTCAAGATGAAAGGCCATGGTGTTATCTCTTTGAATTTCTAATAAGATATCAACAATATCTTGGCCATGGATATCAACCAGTGTCTTGTTGATATGTTCATCAATAACACCCTCAAGAAACTCATCGAATTCTTCAGCAACGTCATCAGCTCGTCGTTCTAATCCRCTCAACCTATCCACCCACGTCAAAAACGGAATATAACTCCCGATGCTAAAGCTTCCCAGTAGCTCCAMAAACCTTTCTAACAAGTTCTTGAACTTCTTCCCATCATATGTCCTCCCCAAAGCCACCCTACAGATGATATTATTCGTAAGAGAAATCAGCAATTCACTCAAATTAACCACAGGTTCATGGGTTTCTTGAATCTTTGCGATCAACAACGATGTCTCGTCGTTTCGAACTTGTCGGTATGATCGAACCCTTTTGTTGGTTAAGATATGGAGGACTGCAATACTCTTGGCTTGCCTCCAATAATCTCCATATTGAGAGAAAGCTATGTCTTTGGAGCCATAAGTAAGTCTGTTGATGATGTTTTTTTTTGGTCTGTTTGAAAAGATTAGGTCATGGGTTTTCATGATCTCTCGAGCTACGTCGGCAGAAGAGGCTACGAGTACTGGTACGGTGCCGAGGTGAAGCAACTTGAGTTGGCCGTAACTTTGTGCCATGGCGTGGAGGGCACGGTGTGGGATGGACCCAAGTTGATGCAGGTTTCCTATCAATGGCAACCTTGGTGGAGATGGTGGTAAGTTTTTGTGGGGTTGTGAAGAAGACGAAAGCGGTTTCAAGAGAAATAAGATCAAAATGGAGAAAGAAGAGATAAGGAGAATCGAGAAGATGAGAAACATTTTCCAGATGGTGGTGTTTAATCTTGAAAGAAACGAGGAGGGCTTTTGGTGTTATGTTCCACACGATATACACTATGAAATTCAAAGTTTCATACATACATATATATATATATATATATATATATATATATACATGCATATACATATATACATATATACAAAAGATTTACTTAGCAAACCATGTAATTTGTATAAATTGTATAAACCTAATTCAATCAATTATTATTTTTTTCATTTTTTTGTAATTATGAAAGGTTGATTAATTATTTTTATCGTAAAAGGTGTTAATCATGGATATTATCATATTTATTATATTAATTTTAAAGATTTATATGAAACAATTTCATTAAAATTTCATAAGTATTTATGAAACAATTTCATCATCATATATAAAACAACCTTATCTAGAAAAGTATTATATGAAATAATTTAATAAAATTAAATAATTTCGTGAAACAAAATCATTAAATTAAACAATAAAATCGACGGATAAGAGTGGTTTGCACGGTTTGTACAAATATAGGTGGTTTGCATTTGATCGCTTATACATACATACATACATACATACATACATACATACATACATACATACATACATATACATATATACATACATATATATATATATAGTGTTGGGTTGGATTCATGTGAGACCATTTTTTACACTTGAAATTTCACAGCAAAACGTTGAGAAGGTAAGAAAAGCCCAATCTTCACAGCAAAAACACTGTGAAGGTTACCTTCACAACATTTTCCTGTGAAGTTTCAAGTGTAAAAAGTGGTCTCACAAACCAGATTGGTCTCACGTGATCCCAAATCTACATATATATATATATATATATATACATATATATATACACATATAAAGGATCTTTTTTTTTGAAATGTTATGAAATTGTGACATCCTCGAAAACTTATGCATCATTTATTATTTTATATTTTTTTGTCATTTAAGACTAAAATTTAGAAAATATTAACTTATATTTTAGAAAAAAGAAACAATAAATTTCGAACAAAATTTCAAATGGAATAATATTTTTTGTTTTCAATAAATAAAAATTTTAACATTTAAATATTAAAAATAATTTAAAAAGATTGTTTTATTATTTCCATTGTCTTTAAAATGGATTTTGGACACATCATGATCATGTTATTGTTATCCATTTATGACTTTATTTTATGTTCTCTCTTTTTCAAAGCATATTGGAAATAGAGCTTAAATTTTATCTTTCAATTATCATATTTTATAAAAAAATATTATATATAAACTATTTATTCACATATGATTCTATATTTAAATCACGTATAAAATCACATGTGATTGATTTGATTTTGGCTGGAACATGGGATCCATCTCGTCCAAACATCCCTAAGTTGACCGATAGTATAAAATATTCATATGGGATTTTTCATACATACTTTAGTCGTTTTTGTGTTTTTTTATTTGGTTATTATTCTCATTTGAACCTTTCTTTTTCTCTTTATATATATATATATATATAGGATTGGGTTCACGTGAGACCCAAGGTTTTTCGTGAGACACGTAAGACCAATTTATGTTCATTGATCAACTTTATAAGCTAATGATCTAATGGTCTAAAGTTGCACATTGACAATTTTGAGATTATTGAAAAGTCTCGTGGCAATTTTGTGATCATGAATGTTTAGATTGTAGATCTAATCCAATAGTTGAGAATTGGTCTTACGGATCTCACGAAAAACCATATGGTTTCAGCGGCAGCCAACAGATCCTTAAGTATCTTGTGTCAAATTCAGAAAATGAAATGCATATGTATTTGTAAGTTTTAAGAAATTTTGATGTCTGTCATGTTTAAAAGACGACTTCAAAATTAATTAAGGTGTGATTAACTAGCTATATATTTATTTGTAGTATATAAATGTTTTGATTAATTGAATATTTTTTGTAGCTCATTAATATGGTGGCATTTGTAAAAACATTGAAGAAATTTGACAAGGTAATGTGATAAAAAAAGGTTATGTTTTTGTAACCCATAAAGAAGAGAATATATATATATATATATATATATATATATAT